GACGTTTGTGAAGTCACTCATCACGAGACGGGTTCACGAAGAGAAGGCTCACATCACAGAGGTTTGCAAAGGGATAAATCTAGCATCAGACTTTCGCGAAGAGAAGGTTCGCAAAGAGATGATTCTACAGAGAGAGTTTCGCAAAGAGAGGACTCTCAAGATAGACGTTCGCGAAGGGAGGAATTTTCTGACAGAGGTTCGCGAAGGGATGATGGAGGTTTGAGAAGGGATACAGGTTCGCAGAAGGATGATTCGCGGAGGCATAGCTCTACCGATCAGGAGATAACTGATGAACAACCAGACTTCGTCTTCCCAGACTCAGAGGTTACAGATTGGATAGCCAATGGTTTGAACTTGGAGTCTCTTTCTAAGGATATAGATGAAGTCTACACTTATAAGATGCGTAATGACAACTTTGACTCGGTGACTATTCTTCCGATTGAACCTATATCCAAGATACCTTCTAACCTACGCACAGCTTTGAGAAAGCTGCAGAGATCTACAAGGTTCGAGAACTCTTAGATCTACAGGCAGATAACAGCAACGCAGACATCTACAGGGTTCGCAAACCCTAGAGTTAACGAACCCTTACATCAACAGGCAGGATGTTGACGTCGACTCTATTACCATAAGGCTGGATAAAACGAAGCAATGATGAAAACAGATGGTTTTGTCAGAGTTTATAACTCAACAAAAAGATCTACAACATGTGCGATCTCTACAGTTTACAGCCTGCACAACTCTACAACCTGCACAAACCTTATACCTGTATAGGTTCAGTTTCAGACGACAACCTACTTGATGAAAGAATTCCCTTCATCTACACGGATGTTGTCTTATACCGGGTAGCAGATGGCCTGCGGATATTGTCGATTCACTCACTCACTCCAACCCAACAGAGACGTACTGCATATACGCTGATGACTTCGACTCCAATATGATATCACCTATGAAGCCGATATCTCAAGTACTGGAGAACCTCAAGGCGACCTTTGTAAAGGGCTTAAGGTTAACAACGCCTTCAAGAATCCTTGAACGGACGTACAGATGATATTATTAACACTCGTCACTCAGCGTAGGGATTAGGACATATATCCTATCAACTAGATTCAACATCGGTATTTCTTCAAGATCCATACAGACATACGTCTCGACAGCCTCCTTCGTCATGCTGGTTTATATTATCCACAACGTGATTTATATCACTGAACAAGATTTTACACTTGGAGCAACCCTTATTCAAGAGGTCTATATGAGCGGCGTAGAATTACGCACGCTTTTATTCAACCAACTAATTGCACCAGATTTTATGTAGGCCAACTTGCTACAACACTGGTGACGACATGCTTGAAGCTGATTGGTCCACATCAGACAACGCCTCCCACTGACAGAGCAGGCCCCAGCAAGTTTACTGACTTGTAAACAAACCCATGGTATGGGGGAATACTTCATCGGCAGCCTTGGAAACAGTATACAACTACGGACTGTTATCATCATGGGAATCTAATAGATGTCTAGCCTTGACAGCAGCATAAACCATGTTTATTTTGGAAGTTGTCGCTGATAAAAGTCGGTATGAGCACCTGTCCCCTGGAGCCAGCCTTGCTATAAATAGACAACGTTTCAATGTATGCTGATCTACACAGATCACCTGCGTATATAAGGGGAAGAATGATGTATCATCACTGCATTCAGAGGTTAGCACTTCCAATGGAATGTCCTACCGTTTGGAATATCATCGGCTCTATGATTATTCATACGAATAACCAAGCCTATCGGCACCTATCTGCAGCATCGAGGTCTATGCAGTGCCAGTTATCTGGACGACGGCATACAGGTTCTTCAAAATGCCAATCAACTCGGACAGCAGCTGAACTTCACAATTAAGTTGCTCACGTAACTAGGATGGCTAGTGAACCTGATGAAGTTGGAGTTAGAAACAAACAAGATCTTCAATTACTGGGAATAAGAATTATCACAACACAGAATCAAATTGTGGTCCTAGAAGATCATTGGGTCAAGATACAAGCCATGATTCCACAAGCAGTCACCTCTCCGTTAACACTACGAACATGGCAATGTCTACTCGGTCTCCTAACCTCGGCGCAGGACTTGACTCGCACAGGAAGGTTACAACTAAGGCCGCTGCAACGGTTCCTGACAAAACATCTTGACAGCGTCGACCCTATCTTGCTTCCAGACAATCTTAAGAGGTACCTACTTTGGTGGACCCACAGGTTGAACGTCTGCGGAGGGACATATTTACAAGAGCCAGCCTTCGACACACATCTCTACGTAGACACATCGATACAAGGTTGGGGTGCACATCTCAACAATCAAGTTGCATCAAGGAAGTGGTCCAAAACAGAGCAGCATCTTCACATCAATCTGCTGGAGATGAAAGCTGTGATCAACGCCTTACAACTATGGTCGAGCTCACTGGTCAACAGAATGCTGATGGTCCACACAGACAACTCTACAGTGGCATTCTCCATAAATCGGCAAGGATCTACAAGATCACCAAGCCTACTACAGCTCACATTCCAGTTGTTTGACATCACGGAGGAGGCAAACATCTGAATAAAGGCGTGTCACATACCCGGAGCTAAGAACGTGCTTGCAGACGCTCTCTTCCGACCACTGCACCCGTCACCTACGGAATGGATGCTCCATCCAGAAGCATTTCGGCTCATCATAAGGGAAATAGGATCCTCATGCATAGACCTGTTTGCCACGAAGTTCAAGAAACAACTACAGATGTTTGTCTCGCCAGTTCCAGATCCTCAAGCCTGGGCAACAGATGCACTGAACATATCATGGGAAGGACTAAACACTTATGCGTTTCCACCACTGATATTACTACCGAAAGCACTGTTGAAGATTAAACAGACACAGGCGCTACAACTGACCTTGGTCGCGCCATACTGGCCAGCGAGAGTATGGTTTCTAGACCTAATAGAAGATCTCAGAAGTCCAACAATCAAGTTACCAGATTGGCCGAACCTACTCATACATCCGCACACCAAGCAAGTCCACGGGAACCCAACACTGTTCCAGCTACACGTGTGGACTGTATCATAACATGTTTGAAGAAAAGGGGATACTCCGCCAGGGCAGCCAAGACAGTGACGCTAGCGTTACGCAGATCTACTCGTAACCTGTATGATGACAAGTGGCTGAAGTTTGAGACTTATGCAAGGCAGAAAGGCTTCATTGCTATGAAAGCTACTCATCCTCAAGTGGCGGAATACCTGTGTCATCTCAGACAGATCAGACATCTGAAAGGTTCGACATTATCTACATACCCTGCTGCCATCAGTACAGTGATTACCATGAAAACAGGCATCAAGTTGACGAAAGTACCAGAATTACTTGCTCTGCTGAAATCTTTTAAACTGGAGGACCAGCAAAAGAAGTTCAGAGCTTTGGCCTGGGATCTGAATGTTATTCTACGACATCTTACAAGTAATGCCTACGAACCTCTAGACCAGACTACCTTCGAGCTGCTGACACAGAAGACGCTGTTCCTGCTTGCGCTAGCCACAGCAGCTCGAATATCAGAGATACTTGCGGTGGACTATTGTAGAACCAGATTCGACACGGGGCAACATGCTGCAGTTCATCTAGGACTTAGATGGGACTTCATTGCCAAGAAGATATATCTTCAAAAGACTGAGACAAGGAGACAAAAATTCAAGCGCCTGTTCATCCCATTATCCACAGAGACATCAGAAGAAGTCTCTAGAACGACGATATCGTTCTGGATGAGAGCCGTCATATTGAGAGCCTATAAAGCAGCAGGACTAGAACTTCCTAGAGCTTCCAACTCACACGATGTCAGAGCACTGGCGTCAACATTGGCTGTGCACGGAAATTGCTCTATATCAGCATTTATGGAGGGCTGCTTTTGGAAGTCGGATACAGTGTTTGCCAACCACTACCTCCGAGAAATAACCACTGAAGAATTCTCAGGCATTCACCAATTTGGGCCTCTCATTGTAGCACAGCAGCTAACGGTTCCTCAAAGGCGCTGAGTTGGAAAATTTCACGTTGACTTGTTGATAACTTTTACTACGGAAAAGTTTTAGTTTGAAAGTCCATGCACACAGTCTAGGACAGACTAGCATGAGTGATTAAAGATCCTGTACGGGTAAAGATCTTACCTGTACATGAAGGGGTCGCAACTCATTCATGATAAAGATCTTATCATAATCTATGGGTTGTTATAAGATATTTAGTAATAGGAAGATACTAGTTTATCTGAAAACCACATGAATCAAGATGATTCAACTTGTCTGAGATGGAAGTAAGACAGAAGTGGTCCCCCCGAGTTATAACGGAAGTTGGAAGAATAGGATCTCAGAAATGCCGCTACGCAGTTCCCATGGGGGGGATACAGGACGTATCTAAGGACAGCTGATGAATCCAGGAAGTTGCCTGACCCACCACCAATCCGCAGGATTCTATAAGCAAAAGATCATGAGTCAGGAAAAGAAAAAATATGTAATTTTTCAAGTAAAATTGATATTTTGTACTTATCCTGACTCATGAGGTCAAGCCCTCCCGACCTCACTGCTGGAAACACTTCGGATTGCACAGCAGATCCAAGTGCTTGGGCAGAAAAATCAGGAGAGAGTGACAAGTAAGGCTGGTCACATGACTGTTTACGCGGGAAAAGGGAGGTAACTCGTGGGTGAGTGTATTTTTACGTCCGCTTCGGGAACTTCAAGGGATTCAAGTGTTCCACTACCATTCGCAAGGGAAAGGGAGATAAGCAAAAGATCATGAGTCAAGATAACTATAAAAATATCAAATTTACTTGAAAAATTACAACTTTTTAAGATGTATATATTTTTAAACACCTTTAAAAGCAAATATATTATCATTTGCATAGACGATCGCACAAATAGTTAACCTCAAAATATCACCTTAATGATTCAGAAGCTGGTTCAGCTATGTATCTGCCATTTTTGTTAAAAGATACCATTGGTTATTTTCAGTCGAGATTGTCCGATATTCTACATGAGGAAGAAAGTTCAGAAGGACCTGGCGGACCAAGACAAGCTCATCATGAGATTCGGGCTACCCATGGTAGTGGTCGTACAGCACGACCGGCAGTGTGAGAGTGACAGGGGCAGCTGTGGGCTATTGATCAAGTCATAGTGTGATAATATAAGTTGATCACTGGTCACCAAGGGGACAAGGGTTGATGTACCTTCTGTTTGTTTATGTTCCCCTCGCCCATGTACCCTTCGTGACCAGTGAAGAACATATTTATCTTACCAAATGGTAATTTTGAACTGTTTGAAAAACAGGTATCGGATAACAATAGGGAGTACCATAATTAGGCAATTAGCCAATACTAGATTTACAAGCAACACAAATTTAGAGTTATCTCCCTTCCATCGATTTGCATTCGCAAAACATCAGTAATTTCTGTACATCATACATGACTCAATTATTCAAGGTAAAGAACTACTAACACAAAGTACCAAATAAATTCCAATAGTTCGGCATTCCTATCGTGTTTAATAGAAATGTTACTCGCTTGTAAGCGGGGTACATTGAAAATAATAGAAGAGCGCTCAGCGAATCAGAAAACGACATTATGTGAGGGAAGATAATGGCCTTTTTCATGTGGCGATGTATCACTACTAAAAAAACTACTGTTGCAAGTTGTGATAACTTTGTTTCAAAAGTGCTTTCTCTGACATGTAACCAAGAAAGATGCGGGTTAGATTGATCTTCAGTAACCCATGCTTGTAACAGTCAACTAACGGGATGTCAGGCTCGCTGACTTGGTTGACACATCATCGTATCCTAATTATGTAGATCGATTCTCATACTGTTGATCACTTGATTGTCTGGTCCAGACTCGATTATTTCCTGCCACCATATAGCTGGAATACTGGCATTCAGTGTGGCATTTAACAACAAAAATCTCTGACATGTCCAGTTATCAGTGAATAGATGTGACTTTACCACAGGGGAATCCACCATTCAGGAGATAAATTAGGGCTCCTTGCCTCCAGGCAGGAGACCTATTGTAATCGTTCGGATTATTATTATTATTATTTATTATTCCACCGAATTTTGTACCAAACATAACTCCTAAACCAATGCTCCGAATCGCTTACAAAAAATCACACAGATGCGCACCAAGGTGTAGATATTCCCCTTAAAAATCTCTAGGCTCTAGGCCCAATAGCAAAGGGGAGATAATTCAAAATTAATTCCAAAATTTCAAAGTTTGACAGCAAAAATCTCAAGGACTAATTGTTCCAACACTTCCAAATGTCTTGTACAGATTCACAATCAAATTCCCAACAATCTTGCCTGGACGGGTCAAGTCTCTAAAACGTACCATTTGGCAGTTATTTTTGTTTTCAGTTTTTGGCCATGTTTTTCAGCAGTTTTCTGAGTAGTTTACTTCCAAAATGTGCAAATTCTGCAAAATGATAGATGAAGTCTTGGTGCTTCCAGAACACTAATTGTTTTGACCATAGACCCAAGAACAACTGAGATACAGCCTTTTAAAGAGGGAACTATTCCTTCTCCGGAACTTCTTAAAAGCTACATGACCCCCGCGACCCCGGCTGTATTTGGAAGATCCGCTCGCCTGTCAAAAACGTGTTCTGGTTCCGTTTTGGATGATGATTTCTTGCCCTCAAATACCATAGATAGAACTTAAGCCAAGGAGCCCTAACCGATGCTTGCAACTATATATTTCTTTAAAGTTATGTCAATGACGCTGTAAATGTTGGTGCCTTAAAAGATTGAATTGGTTTACAGCTTCTTCTTGATTACGCTGTCATCGCATGTGTTGTAGTGCCTCAAATTGAGTGTAAATGGATGCATCCTAGTGCTGAAAGAAATGATACAGTGTTGTGCATAGAGTATGTGTGGCGATTTGAATGAACTCAATTTTCTCTGTTTGTAATCTGAATTGTTTGGGGACCATAAATTCACTGTACATAACATGCCACTTTGTACATATTTCATAAACATGCAAACAAAATTCTTGAGTTGTTTTTTTATTTCAAACACTTTTAATCCCATCCCAGCATGAATAAGGATCTGTGGTGGGCGAGCTGTCTAAGGCCCCAGGCTAGTGATCCAGTGAGCTTGAGGTGCCAGGATCGAGTGAACGTGACCAGGTGTAAATACCTTCGCATCAACTTTGTGTGCAGACTCTTTCAGTGTTGTCACAACCCTGTGCACTTAAAAGAACCCACGAATCTGTTGGTCTATGACCAGATGGTGGCCACATGAATACGTGCAAACACCTAACTGTGGGTACAACAACGTGCAGTTAACTTTGACAAAGTACTGTGACTATGTAACCCAGTCCACCCAGCTGTGATTGATCATAAGGATGAGAAAGCCACACAACTTGGTGCACCTAGTGGCTGGATGAGTTGTATGATCCCCAGGGAGTTGAGATTGAAAATATGAGGTGCCGTTGAGATTGACATCCAATGATCGAGGGAAAAACAAAGCACCTTGGAACAGTTTAGCTGGATATTGGCCCCATTAGTATGATAATGATGCCCTGATGTGCTGATATACCAGAAACTTCAGGATGCACTCCCACCTGAAGCAATTCTCTGGTAAACATGGTAAAAGCAGTGCTGAGTAAATACAAATGTTTGTGGCTTCAAAAGAAGTGAAAGATAATATAAGTTAGTACATTATTTTCCAGTCAGGATACAGTTGAAGTATTGCCGATGTGACTGAAATCTTAACTAATTATTTTCCAGGAGGAAGTTTTTGCTGCATCATGAATGATCATATAAGAAGATATAAACTACATTACATGTCATTATGAATGTGTTGGGATTTGTACAGCAGTGATGTAACAAATCATATAACAAGGAGTAATGGTCCAAAACAGAACTAACAGTGTGACTGACTGACTGAGTTTGGTTTTACACCGCTTTTAGCAATATTCCAGCAACATCACGGCGGGGCACACCAGAAATGGGCTTCACACATTGTACCCATGTGGGGATTCGAACCCGGTCTTTCGGTGACGAGCCAACGCTTTAACCACTAGGCTACCAGTGTGAGATGGCTATCCACCTACTATATTAATAGGTAAAGCTCAATCTGTTTGATTGGCATTTTAGAAGTTGGTCAGTAATAAGTAAGTTACTTTCAATATGGATAACAACTTTATTATATGATGCTTGACAACTGTATAAGACTATACCGAAACGTTGCATCATATATACTAAACAAGTTGTTATTCATAAAGTATGTCCTACAGTGTGATGACTCATCTTTCCAACCACCTCCGTGGTGTAGTGGTTAGAGCGTCCGCCCGGAGAGCGGAAGGTCGCGGGTTCAATCCCCGACCGCGTCATACCAAAAGACATTAAAATATGGTACTTGTTGGTCCCTGCCTGGCGTTCGGCATTAATGGGTACAACAAGGACTGGTCGGCTCGGAGTCAGTTTAATGTGTCTGAGTGGGGTATTCATGCTTCACTGCAGCATGGTATCTCAGTGGGTTAGCACTATAAAACCAGCTTAAGTCTGGGCTAGTACAAGCAGCCGCACATACACAGTCCATTGTATTATGTATTTTCGTTCAAAGAAATTGGAGATTAGCAACAGTATACATTTTCTTAAACCACTCACTACACTTGATGTAAAAAACAATGTTTCCAATTTTTCCCATCATCCCATTGGCGGCCATCTTGGATGTCAAAATGGCCGCCACATTCAATAATGTGCCACCCTTTTTTTTCACTTTTAAGTACAATTCTGGTTCTATTTTCAGTACATGTATATATTTGAAGCTTTTATGCTGTTAAGGATTACTTGTATACACCCCAGTATCAAAGACACTGTTAATGTGTATACATGAAGGGGAAATGTGATATTATATACAAAATCTAAACATTACATATTTCATATCAGCTATTTATGATATATATCTATACACTGAACTCCCAGACACTTGTATTTTGTTATACTTATTTTGCTCTGTATAAAAAACAAGAATATTATGAATGTTATGATAACCACACTAGCTGTTAAAAATCAATGAAACTACTAACTTGTTGATCAGTGGTGTAAGCGTGAGGAACAGGTTGAAGATGAATGTCCACAATGTCACAGAATTGATAGCTTAATGTCTATCCTCAGATGTTGCAATCTTCAGACAATATAAGCACCAAATACACAACACCATTTACAGCAAGTCATCAATATCATCGTGATTTCCATTTCAGACATGTAATCATATCTCCAATCTAAAAAGTTGTCATTAATGATGAAAGTATATATCCACAATGTCACCGAAAGGAGAGGTCTTTCACACTCATCATAAGATATATTTACAGCAGTTCATCAAAGTTATCATCAGGAACTGTTTCTCCACTTGAGACTTCATTCTCACACTGATTACTGCATTGACAAAGTTCAGTACATGGTAAGTCCTTTGATTTGCATGTACACCGCTGAGTTGAACAGTCTGTCTTGCACTGGCATCGCACCATCTTGAGAATAGCCTGGGAGCTGGCAGAACATCTGTGGTGACTGGTCTAAGCTGAGCATCTTTATCCCTATGAAACCCGTGATCTCATTGGGTCCAAGAAGACTTGTTTGGCAACATGAACTTGAGCCCATACCCATGCCTGCATCTGAACTCTGTGAATGTGCTGTTTCAAGGCACCAAGTGTTGGAGGGAGCCTATCACTTTCAGCCATGTGCTTGCAAAAGAGATACCATCTGAGTTCAGGAATTTCATTCAAGGTGATTGTTTTTGGACAATACACAGCACATACAAATCTAGCTAATGTTGAAAAGGTTTCTTCATCAAGATCTTCTCTACAACACAGCAGCTGCAAAGCTTCAACAGTGTCTTCGGTGGCTCTTAGAAACGCCTTGAACCAAGTTGTTCTTCCCAATGCGAGAAAATCTACCTGTGTTATCAGCTCCAGAAAAGGCATGGAAGGCTGGCAGAGCCTTCGCTTTTCAACCCCAAGTGATTTCCATATATGCTGTATTTGTACTTCACCTGATTCCATGCAGATAGATGTCTTTACTGGCAGGTGATCATAATTTGCTATGATTAGCACGAGGACGCCAGTATCTGGAGATAAGAAAACAAGTTCAGAGTCACACGAGTTTCGCTGAGATGCACAGATGGCTTGGTAGATCATCAGTGTGTCAGCCTCTTCATGGTTGTTTGACTCAAAGTTGATGCTGCTGTTACTCTTGTGTTACCCGAAGCTGAGGTGATGAAGAGCTTTGATGAATCCTTGTTGTACTCCATGGTCTTTGTTGCTAGGTACTCTGCAAGGTCATCCTTGGTTTGGTCGTGAGATAAGAATCGGCTTCAATGTGATGTGCTTGATTCTTGTTTCATCAGTTATTTGGTACTGGACTGGATCCTTGCCATGACGTCTTTTTTCCCTTTGTTGACCATTTAAGTGAATCAGGTTTATAGGTATCA